AATCAAAATGATTGTATCAGGAAAGAAAACACTGGAAGTCACTTTCAACCTGAGATTCGATCGAAGCATGGAGTCTGTGATAGACTATGAAGGAAAACTCTGAGACTCACATCCAACCTAGAAGGTGACTAATTCAAGCAAGAATGACAAGGGACTCACATCCACTCGAAAGCTAATCAAATTGATCATATCATGAAGGAAAACAATGGGGATTCACATCCAGTTTGAGATTTGATTGTGGTACGGAGTCTGTGAAGACTAGGAAAGAAAGCTAGGGGACTCACATCCAACCTAGGAATGTGATTAATTCGAGGAAGAATGTCAAGGGACTCACATCCCCTTGAGCTAATCAGATAATCATATCGGGAAGGAAAACATTGGGATTCATATCCAACTTGAGATTTTATCGAGGCACGAAGCATATGATAACCTCTTACCTGAACACATTCGAAACTGTAGAGGAGAAGGCTGAGTTATCTCGTGTAACTCGGTCATCTATTATGTTTACTCATAAATAACCAACCATGCTTCTATTGTTCCCGTCAAGCGAAACACCTTTTCAACATCTGCTTGACTGTCTTTACGACAATAGATGAGGCACAAAGTTTGCATATACTAGGATGGAATACGCGGGGACTAATATCCAACCTAGAGAGTAAGCAGGGTGACTATTCCAAATAGGAAAGTCGGGAAACTCATATCCAATATTGGAAGCTAGTCGGGGAAGATCAAATCAGAAATGAAATCGTTGGGATTCACATCCAACCTGAAATTTGCTTGAGGCACAAAGTCTTAATGAACTGGAAGGGAAAGTCAGGGCACTGAAATCCATCATAAAATGTGATTAGTTTGAGAAACAATGCTAATGGGCTTACATCCACTCAATGATTAGTCAAGGAAGGTAGTGTCTGGAAGAAAAGCACGGGGATTTACATCAATTATGAAATTTTATCAAAGCACATATAACCCAAATATTCTAGAAATGAACGCACTAGGACTCATATTCAATATAGAAAGTGAGCAGGGGCTCTAAAATAGAAGATTGTTTTGTCTGACATGTCTTTTGAAGCGACAGAATGATAATGATTACTTGATCATATTCGTGATAGTCGAAGAGAAGACTCGATCATCTCATGTGATTTGAGTCATCTATTATGCTCCCCCATAAGAAATCAACCAAGCCTTTTGGTTGTGGTTATCGTCGAATGAAGCTCCTACAGAGGCTCAACATTTGCTTAACCATATTCCGTACGACAAAGTGAAGTGCGTAAATCAAGAAAGAAATGAGTCGTCTTTTGGTTACTACCCATATATTGTAACAAGTAGTTAGTTACTACCCATATATTTAGCCACCACCGTATAAAATCGAATTTAGCACAGAAGGTAAGAATAAAAATAAAACTTTTTAATGCATTCAGCATGTGTTTATTTTAAATTTCCTTTTGAACCTCAAATAACGAAGCTCGTTCTTGCTTTCTTTTTTTAAATTAATTGGGTGGAGCTATAAATTTATAAAAAATTTACATAAATTACTATACTCGTGTTGTGATGATTAGGACTGTCGGAAAAGTACTTTGTTACGAACAACTCGTGTTTGACTCATTAAGTAACTCGTGTTCAGCTTATTTGTTAAATAAACGAGTCGAACACGAACAAATTTTTTTAAACTCAAATTATAAACAAGCCGAACACAAGCAACTCTTTGTTCGCTTAGTGTTTGTCTCTTTCTAGCACAAAGTAAAAAAAAAAAAAATCATATAATTATTTATATAATAATATATTATTTATTTTTATATCTAAGTTTAAATCATAACAGTTCGAGTGTTAATGTGTTTTTGCGCATTCTTTTGCAGAGATTTGTTCTAGATTAAAATCCAACACTCTACATCTATTTTTCCAATTAATTTTAATGAGTCAATTTCGAGTCAACCATAAATAAGAATATTTAAATTAAGTTCAACACAAACACACTGTTCAAGAGCCAATTTTGAACACCAACAATTTCCAACGAGAGTAACTCGAGCCAACTAAAGCTCGGCTTATTTACAACCCTAACCATGATGTTGCTTACAAGTCATTTATTGATTATGTTTTTTATCAACCCATCATCATTATTGATGTCATGATCATGTTGCCAAACTTGTTTTATTACATTAATGAAAAAAATCAGATTTTATATTTTTTTTTTAAATTAAAAAATCATGTTAAATCATCACATTTGTTCTCCTTTAATAATAATAATAATAATGTCAAAAAATGATAATGTAAAGAAATTTAGGACCTAAACCAATGTTTTCTCCAAATAAAAGCATACACATACTATGCGGCAAGCATTCACCATAATTTAACCTAAGAAAAAAAAGGCATCGCTCACGAAGAATATTTACATAAAATAAACTTTAATTATTTATTTGCATAAAATGAACAAAAGAGCTGATTCCAAAAGTTCAGTTCTATTTATTTATTTGCATGCATACCACACAAAATCTTATGTATTTATATATCTAACACCTGAACTTTAATATTTACATTCATGCCACTAAGAACTTAACATCACATCAAAAATATCACTTTCATTAACTTTTTCGAGTCACGTGCATCTCTTTTTATGCATGCATGGAAGGAGTTATAAATAGAAATATCTAACCTTAGCTGTCAGATTTAGACACATAACTACATAAGAATTGCATTGCAGGTATGTAAATTTTCCTAAAAACAATTGAAGATTTACATACAAACCACTAAATTCACATGTATTTATATAAATAGCACCTAAACTACAATTTTTACATACACATCCCCACCTTATCTATGCTTGAAAAGGTGTATTTCGCATTTTAAAAGTTAAAATGGTGGTGTTTTTATATATAAGAAGGATTTGGATGCCATAAATGCAAAAAGCAATGTGAATACATAGGAATTGGGTGCTATTTTTGTAAATGCCCCCATTCTGGAACTTATGATTCAATCTAACAGCAGAGTACCCGAGTGATTAATTCTGAAAATATTTATAGCCTTAATCTAAACTATTAAGAGGGTGTTAGGAAAGCTAGATAAGGATTTGGTTAGCACAGCTGGTCAGGAAAAGAAGGCAAAGTTGAAGAAGAAGAAGCAGTTGGAATGCATAATGGAGTTGTCTCAGAAGCTGGCAGAACGCCATGGCTTGTTTGAGCATCTTGCTTGCACATAGGGCAGAATGTTCTCCACATAGTAAGCCATGAATCAACACAATTCGCATGAAATCCTGCAAAAGAGAATGTAGCCATCATTTTTTTTTTATCAAAAGTTAAAATAGTGGTATTTTTATGTGATACGGAAGATTTAGACGGTATAAATGTAAAAAAAATAAAATTTAGGTGTTTAGACATGTAAATACATGGGAATGGGGAGGTATGTATATAAATGCTCCCTTCTATTTTGTATTCTTGTTTTTGTTTCTGCTTTTGCTTTTAGATATATATATGTTAAGTGTATTTTTATATGTTTTTATATTGGAACATTCACATACATACAACATAATTCTTACGTATTTACGCCTTTTACATTGATATTTGCATGCATGTCACTCAGAACTTGAAAGTCACGTCAAACATACCTTCATTGCATCTTTTTAGTAGGTTTATAATACTAAGGCGCTACGCTCCCACCGCCAACAAATATCCCATGCCGCATTTCATGAACAACCATGCCCGAGAATGAATGAATTGTGATATAATGCCTTAATAATCCATAGCTCTATTCTCAACTAACGATTTGTTACGATCCAATTGTTTCTTCCATATAATTTTCATGTTGCAAGCATAATACAAAAAAAAAAGTCAATATCTTCAGGCCTAAACCTCTCTAGGTGTGTAAGGCGGTGTGTAAATATAAAATTTCAAATGTTAGATATGTAAATGCATACTAATTGTGTTGTATGTATGTAAATTTCCCAAAGTTTCTTTAAAAACAAAACGGTTGCTTTGGTGAGTTGATTTTCTTCTTGCAAGAGGTTGTAAACAGTAACAATCCATAATTTACCAAACATTAAAAAAGGGGTCAAAATGCTAATTAAACCAGAAGAATGACACATACTGTGATGGCAGGGTAGAATCCGAAGTTTTTCTCCAACACTGTAATCCTCAAGACAAATAGCACAGGTTTTCGTCGTGCTATCGCCTCGTAAAACTTCTGAGAACAACTGACTCTGCATCGCTTCGACCGATCGATTGCTCATTCCATGGAAAACATGGACTCGAGAAGCTCCCCGGCGAATATGGGTAATGCGGCGTCCACGCACAAAAAAACAAGCAGCCAGCACAGCGGACAGAGCGAGTAGTGATACGAAAGAGATAGCCCAAATAGCCCACGGTGAATTCATAAAGTATGGAATGATCCATAGCTCCACATCAGTATGATTAACATATTTCTTTAGTTCTTCACCTGATACCTTGGAGATGAACACAGCATGAATGCTGATGCCTTCTGACTTTCCTGCCACTGTAACGTTTGGATGGAGTATATTATATATAAATTTTAGAGGCATTTACATACATAATCACACAATTCTTATGTGTTTACATATCTAACACCTACACTTTATTTTTTATATTTGGAGCATTTACACATACACCACCAAGTTCCTAAGAATTTACATACCTAGCACCTAAACTTTGCATTTTACATTTATATCACCCAAATCTTTCATAGCCAAAAAAAAATATCATCATTTTTAACTTTTACAAAATTAAATACATCTTATCATGCATAGGTAAAGTGGACATGTATGTAAAAATGGAAGTATAAATGTTAGATATGTAAATATATTGGGAACTGAGTGGTATGTATGTAAATCTTCTAGATTTTATAACACCCATATCTTTCATATCACATCAAAACTGCCACTACTTTAACTTTTAAAAACTGACACACATTTTAATGCATAGGTAAGGTGGCATATATATGTAAAAATTGAAGACTAAGTGTTAGATATGTAAGTACATAAGAATTGAGTAGCATGCATGAAAATCTACCTTATATTTAATTTCATGGCATAAAACTAGCACTTACATTACAAATGTGAAAACATAACAAGAAGAAAATGTGCAATACACATTTTTATGCACCGGTTGGTAAGTATGCAAAAATTAAACTTTGGATATTAGATATGTAAATCATAGGAATTAAGTGGTATGTAAGTAAATCTTCCCCCCTTTTTTGTTTGAACAGTATAATAAAAGACAAGCATGCTTTCTGTGAATGTAAGCAATAGAATCACATCTAATAGTAGCACTCAAGATTACAAAGCCATGTATCACAATTTCAATCTTCAACTTAAAAATTTTAATACAATACAAGTAATAGATTTAAGGTTGATATGTAAATGAGTGATAAAAAGCATTACTTGTCACCAATCCACCATTATATTTATCGTCATATACGATGGCGGCTTCGAATCCAGCACTTTGTGCATTCTTAACTTTATCATGAAATGAGCAGCCTCCTCTTATTATCAAAATAAATGGAGATAATGAACTGTTTGCCACTGAAGCTTTTAACCGAGTGCACGCATCGAGAGGTTCAGCGAGATGCAAAAACCCAACCTCACCAGATTCTCGAATAGGCGGAGCTACAAAAGTAAAAAAAACAATAAAATTATATAATATAAATAAAAGGAACAAATAAGAATTTGCTTCCAAACATATGAACTGTGCATACACTGTGATGTGAACTCGAGATTTATACCTAATAATGACAATAGTATATTTCCAAAAGATAAAAAAAATTTAGGGATAATTGCATACAAAGCACTTTAAACATTGTTATTTGCAAAATTAGTTTCCAAGAGATCTTTTTGAACAATCGAATCGATGCATTTATGCATGCCATGATCAAACAATTGAGAATTTGATAAAAATGAAAAAAATGCGTTGAGGTATTATATTGAATTTTGATTTTCTAGTGAGAATTTGAAAAGTGGTTGAAAGAGGGCGTGGCGTTATACTTGTAAATAGCAATGTTTTGAGTGGTGCGTATGTGATTGTCCCAAAAACTAATAAATTAAGTTCTCATCAGATGAATAAGGCACGCATATGTGAATCATAAAATAAAAAATTTTCCATGCACGGGTGAGATTGAAAACAACACTTGGACACATAACAATGTATTAGACTAAAGATTTTAGAAGAAGCATGCTATTCTAGTCTGCATAAATATAAGTCATTAACTTTCACTCTGTTATAAATAAGAAAACTTTCGCTCGGGTCTTCAAATATTATTCTTAAGTGGCAAGCACTGGCAGAACTTTATGATGCACTGATCTAAACATAAATTTGTACGTAATTACATATCTAACACCTAAACTTTTAAATTCACACAAATTTTTACACCTAAACTTCAATAGGCGATGAAGTTGGCTAAGTTGCAGGTGAAGCTGCATGTGGAAGTGCAGGTGGCATAACTAACTAAAGAATGAGGAATGAAATTGGATGTAGAGTTGCACACAAAACAACCGCATGAATATGAAAGTACATTTTGTGATTCAGGAAATTAAGCTAGTTACAAAAGATTCGAACAAAACAATATGAAACCATGCAAAAGACATGATTGGCAAAGCCGGCAATGAAACTAAAGTAAGAGATACAAGTAATTTGTCAGTATGAGTAGACGAAAAAAATGAGAAATTTACGTACCTAGCACAGAATTCTTATGTATTTACATATCTTACGGCTAAACTTTCATATTTACAAATAAAGCAATGGGATACCTTAAACATATGCATGAAACGGTGTAATTTACTTAAAAAAAAAGGTAATAATACCTAATTTTTCAGTGATATTAAATGTTTGAGTGCTATGTGTGTGAATATGAAAGTTTAGATGTGAGATATATAAATACATAAGAATTGTGTGCCACGTATGTAAATGCCACAAAAGACATATATGGTGAAGCAAACAACGGAGTGAGTTGAGGTGGCACAGAGCCGCTTAAAGCAATGCAAACAATGAGGATAAATGTCTTAACCTTGGTTCACAATTTTGAACTCGAGTTGGCAAAGGATACTAAGGAGGTGTTTGGTAACCGAATTTGAGCAGGTTTATGACATTATTTAACGTAAATTCAACCCCCCCAAAAAAGATTCCAAGAAATTAAATTCTCACTTCGCTAAATCCAATTCTCCTTCCCTTCCATTACTTTTTTTTTAACATAAAACAGAATTTATTAAATCCGATCATTGCATGAATTTATCGGATTTAGCTTAGGAACAAAGTACAAAAGTGGATTTATGTGAAACACGATAAACAGATTGATTGAATTTAATTTTAAATTGAATCAAACACTATTTTGAACCAAACAGAATTTAATAAATCCGAATTTACCTGATTTACTAATCACACACGCGCGCGCGCACATATATATATATATATATATATATATAATCTAAATCTTATAGGCATCCAAACACACCCTAAAAGTCAATCAACATTGATGATGTATTCGATTTATGATCCAAGAAAACTTTGTAGTTAGCAATACTGTCGTGAGTGCATGGGCGGCAACAGAACAAAAGTTCGTTGAAAGTGTTGGTTAAGAAATTTGAAAAGATTTACTGCCTCCTCGCATGTATCATGTAAAAATGGAAAAAAATGCAGCTCTATTGACTCCAATAACATAACGACAAGTGTATTTCAGTTGGCCTTCTTTTTAAAAAATTATAATTTTATGAGTCGAAATGCAAGTGATCTTTTAAATTTTGGATACTTGCCTTAATTTTATTGGAGTTCGGAGCAGAGCTGCGTGTAAAATTTTCTCGGAAAAATGGGGTTCTAAATTCTAACAAATTTTGTGTTCGTCCCATAACTCAAAAGTAAAGTTTACATATGAACAAGTCACAAATAAAAGAGCACAAAAGACAAATGTTTATATTTGTTAAAATTTTTCATAACAAAGAAAGCAATTATCTTTGAACAGATTCTTTCAGTTCAAAATCATTCGCCCCCAAGCCCAGGCGTTCCATGCATCCTTAGCAGAAAACAATTAGCTTCTTTATATAAAGACAGAACGAATCTGTCTAAAAGGATGTCCTCAATCAACTTCTCATGAAGAATATGATTCAACAACAAACTATTGCAAGCAGTTCAAAAAATGTAAATAAGAACTTACTGAACGTCGCTTCAACATCCAGAAAGGATTTCGATACGTTCCTTCCGATTAATACAACATTAGCAACAGCTAACCTAAACAACAGAAAAAGCACAGCGCAGGCACACAAATCTCGCCTCCCAGCTCCGGAAACCTTTGTCCAAGCCATTCCGAAAATCCTACCTCGCAAAGAGGCAAGCCGATGTCAACCCTAATTGTCCAACTGGCTCAAAAACAACGACTGTGATACATCATCTTAAGTCGTCATTTTGATCCTGTAAGATTACAGAACTTCTCGTAGATAAATCAAGGTTAAATATGGGATCGATCGATAGAAAAAAATTTGAATAAGAAAGCGAGCAAAGAGAAGACCCTCGCAGTAGTTTATTGAATCCCGAGATGGAGAAATTGTAGAGATTTGCCGAGGTCGACGCCATGCAGTAGAAGTTGAAGGAGCTCGATCGAACGGCATGGACAAAAGCGGCAAGCTCGGGGGATGAGATCAGCTGATTATGAATCTTACTAATTATTCCCAACCAGAAAAAATAAATAAAAAATCATTCCTAAATAATTCCATTATTATTGACAAATATCTAAGATTTATACTTTAATTATCACATTCCTAATATTTGATTTTTTTTCATGTTTATATATTGTGATAGTTATGTAGGTTTCAAATATTAATAATTCAAAATATAAAACACATTTTCAAAAGCAATTACAGATTCGTGATATTCGTATAATCTATAAATCAACTTCAATAAATTATTATTATTTAACATGTATTTTAAAGCATATATGAATCTCCAAGTAATTTTTGGGCAATAAATATTCAAACTCGGATTAAAAGTCGTCCATAATTTCAATGTTAGCAAACTCGCGGTCAAACTAACCGGCTCGATGAGACGGAACCAGCGATACAAAATTAGTCTAATTCGAATCAATCAAGCCCAGATCAAATCGTCAAATCACTTTTTTAAGTTTTTTCAGTGCATGATTGGAAAGTTAAAATGGATTTCAATCTAACAAGGTTAAGTTGAATCTTGCATATCAGCGAGACGAATCCAACAAGCCCGAGATAGATCAATTTGGACATCACTAAGACACTTATATATTCACAAAATATTGTTCCATCAAGGAAATCTCTCTGAGGTTGTCCAATGAACTAGTATGAATTTCATCCTTTATTTGCAAATAGGATGAGATTTGTATAAACTTGCCCTGCCCAACATATGAAGAAAGCGAATAGTTGAACAACTCAATCCAACGTGGGTGTTTTATCCAAATCTATCATTTCAACCGTGAATAGAGTCGGATTCTGAGAGGTGGAAAAGGAGAGCGATAGAAAGAGAGAGGGGGTTGCTCTGTTGGGGAACAAATAGGGGTGGTTCTTGGGCTCAACAATCACTTTTATTCCACACTATTTTTTGTTACATATGAGGGAGAAAGGGAGTAGGCTCCCTAAATGAGGGGGAGAGAGAGTCCTAAAAGGAACTCTTTTACACCCAAGGGGTCTTCTATATATGGAGAGAAGAGAGGAAGGGGGGTTGGGGTGCGAGAGAGAAGAAATTACATTTACATGTATGTCCCTGTTTAAAAGGGAGCGGTGAGGGGTAATCTCGTTTTTATTCATCCTCGCTAATGATTGGTTGGCCAAAGCTGTCATTCTACTCGGAGGTATTACATGTATGTCCTGTTTAAAAGGGAGCGGTGAGGGGTAATCTAGTTTTTATTCATCCTCGCTAACGATTGGTTGGCCAAAGCTGTCATTCTACTCGGAGGTTGTGGCCGGGTAGCAATGGCCAGCCCGACGGTCATACAACTCTCGGTTCATCTCTGGTGGCTGATTCTTCTATTTGATGAGGTGTATTTTTGGGTTATATACGAAATCCCTAATTTTTTCAATTTTTTGAGACGAAATTGTGATAAAAATGTAAAAATCATTAGTGCATAAAATATCATTTATTGGGCTTATATTTAAACTCTTAACAATCCTCTTGCTAGCTCTTTAGTGAATAAGTCTTTTTGGAAAAATAATCACTGATTAATGTCTACATTTTTAGAGAATATGATCACTCTTCCTTTATGGATTTTTGGATAATAAAGATTCTCAAATTTCAATATCGCTTCTTACCCATTTTTATTATCCTTGTTGGAACAACGTCTTCGACGGGCCTCTCATTACGTCAGGTCTTGGGCGTTATTATCATTGCCTTTGCAGTGGTAAATGTTGAAACTTGCTAATGGTGTGATTTGCGTCGTACCCCTTTATGGATCTTGTCGCTCCATAGCAAGGAACCGCCTCCATAGCTTCTTCGAACTTGAGCTTTAAGAGTCAGTTTTTTGAGATTTCTTGAGGGGGGAGAAGGAGCTTTGTTTGCTCATCACGGATGAGCGACTTAAGTAAAGATATAAATCTTTGGAGTGCTCGTCCCGGAGAAGAGACTAAGAAAGCTATTTTTATTTTTATTTTGCAATGTTCTCCCGGAGGGAGGTGGGGCTTAAAAAGAATTCCTTAACTCTCCCTAGAGAGGGGGCTTATTATGAAAAAATAGCGTCAATAAAATGAAAAATTGAATCGAAAAAAATCACAAAACAAAAAACAATGAAACACACAGATTTACGTGGTTCGAAAAATTGCCTACGTCCATGGAGTTGTGGAGTTGCAGAAGATTTTAAGATTTTATTAGCTTGAGGAATTACACCATCGAGTGTCTTGACGTTTACAATAAAAAGTTTTCTCTCTTCTTCTCTTTTCTCTGTATTTCTAAACCGAGAGCTACACTGAGGAAGATGCTTGGGAAACCAGATGCTTGGGAAATCAGACGTTTCAGAGAGCTTCCATCGATCATACGACGTTTAATGGACATTTGAGTGCCTTAATGATGTCAAAATTAAATGATATTGGGCTTGTTGGATTTATCTTGTCGAGCCGCTTGATTTGAGTATAAACTTGTCATATTTGACAGCCGTTTGACTTTCCAAATGTGTTTGGAAATCTTCCAATGGTGGTTTAATGACTTGATCTGAGCTTGATTTGACTTGGATTGGACTAGGGCTGTAAACGAGCCGAGCTTGAGCAAGCTCAGGCTGGGCTCGTGTTCGGCTCGTTCGAAATAGCTCGTGTTCAAAATTGGCTCGTGAACAGTGTGTTCGTGTTCGACTCGATTTAAATATTCGTGTTCGTGTTCGACTCGAAATTGACCCGTTAAACTAAAATTGAGAAAAATAGATGTAAAGTGTGAGATTCGAACCTGAATCAAATATATACAAAATAAGACACTAACCACATTGCCAAAGTTATATAATTTTTTTTTCGTGTCATTTCAAGCAGAACACGAGCGAACAAACTGTTGTTCGTGTTCGGCTCGTTTACATTTTGAGCTTAAAAATTTTTTTGTGTTTGCGTGTTCGAGCCGAACACGAGCTGTTCACGAACAACGAGCCAAATTAACAGTTCTATATTGGACTAATTTTTATATCACTATGTCCGTCTCATCGAGCCGGTGAGTTTGACTATAAGTTTGCTGAAATCAGAGTTCTAGATGACTTTTTATCAAGATTTGAACGTTTTTTTATTCAAAATATCGTCTCGAGATCCATGTCATGTTCCAAGATTCATGCAAGATGATAAAAAATTATTGGTGCCGTATCAATTTATAAATTATATTAATAGAATCATTTCATTCAGATTGATCCTACATGAATTTTATTTTCATGATAATTTTCACATTTAAAAACTAAGGTCTATTATAAGATGCTTCCAATCATTTTTTGCGGGCAACACTTCATGCATTAAATTTTAAAATCTATAACTTGGGTAAACATATTTTGACCAACAATTTCAAAATTACATGTCAAACAAACTTAAATTTGAAGGTTTGTTAGATTAAAAAAAAATACCCAATGGTCATGCATGTGCTCTTGACTCGGTTCTCCGGCGGGACATCTGCTCGTTATCAATAATAACAGAAAAGAGAGCATCGAATTTATTTGACCTTCAAACGAACGGTCCTTATTGACCCCACAGATATCAATGCGATCTGACGGCTCATATTTCCCATAGTGCATTTTTAGTCAGATCTGTATAACAACCAGGTCAAACGGTCAATTAATTTGCTCCTCCTCTCCTCTGCTATTTCCGTTTCCTCTTCCCTTCTGCTGCTCCTCGCCGGCGAAGATTAGATAAGGAAAATAAACCCCCTTTGCTTCTCTAGGAAAGGAGTTCTCGCAAGTGATATGAGGGATTTTCTGCCTGCCTACTATCCCATACTTCGGTTTCGGTAAAACCTAATTCTCGATAGCTATGACATCTTCGTCATCTTCCATGAACCCTTCGTCTCCGGGACTGAAGACATACTTCAAGACTCCGGAAGGCCGATATAGGCTTCAGTATGAGAAGGCTCATCCTGCTGGCATTATTCACTATTCACATGGCAAATCAGTATCCCAGGTAGAGAGACAAGGGTTTCTTGTTTTTTCGTGGTGTCATGTGTCAAGGTTTTGATCTGTAGTTTGAATTTTCAGCTGACGATCGCGCACCTTAAGGAAAAACAAGCGCTACAGGAGCCTAGCGCGCCTTCCACGCCGGTCTCCGGGGGTGTGGTAAAGTCGGCCGCGGCTAGGCTTTTTGTTGGTGTTAATGGAAGCAAGGCATTCTCGTTTGGTGGATCGAATGGCGGGAGCAAGACAGTCTCTGGGGCCGGCAGGTTTGGAGGGACGTTTGGGGCTTCTGCTGGATCCGGGGGCTCTATTTCTGCAGCAAATTACGATGGTAAAGGGACTTTTTTAATATTTAATGCCGGCGACTCGCTGTTCATCAGTGATCTGAATTCGCAGAACAAGGTTTACCATTCTTTCTCTCTGTCTCTTTTTTTTTCCTTCTGCTTATTTATCAAATTTCATTTGTTTTTAAGGGATTCTGTAATCTATTATTTTGACGATGGAATCCTTATAGGATCCAATCAAGTGTATTCATTTCAGCATTTCGATCCCTTTGTGTCATGCATTTGATACCGAGGCAAAAGATGGGCACGATTTACTTGTTGGGCTTCATTCTGGAGAGAGTGAGTTACTTCACATTAATTTCAGTCTATGTTGTTCCATGTTTGCCACTTTTGTATGTTTTTTTGGAAGATTTACATACATACAACACAATTCCTATGCATTTACATATCTAACACATATACTTCAATTTTTGCATTTATACCACCTTCCCTATGCATGAAAATGTATATTTCACTTTTTAAAAGTTAAAATGGTTTTGATTTGACATGAAAGATTTGTGTGGTATAAATGTAAGCAAATAATGTTTAGTTGTTAGATATGTAAATGCATATGAAATGGATAGGTATGTAGGTAAATGCCCCTATTACTTTTTGTTAATATTGAATGATTTTGTTGGCGATGCTTGCATACATCTCAAGTTTACACAGCATCGTTGAGGCAGCAATTACAGGATCCTGGCAAGAAGCTTGTGGGAGCTCAACATTATAATAAAGATGGTGCAATAAACAACAGGCATGTCTTTGCTTTTATGAAATATGCATAGAATAGCACGCAACTGATGGTGCCATGCATGATATTTTTAATTTGCTGGTGTTATTAAATTGTAGAGTTAATTGTTTGAATGGGTTAGTTTATTGAATAAATATTAATGAAGAATGTAAGTTTTATACTGTCACTGCATGTTTCTTATTTGTAACTAAGCTGCTGCAACTGCATGTAACTTATATGTTTTAATGAAAAAAGGAAAATTTACACACCTAGCACATAATTCTTATGTTTTTACATTCCTCATACCAAAACTTTAATATTCAGACACAAAGTTTGTTCTTTAAGCTTATGCATGAAAATGTGTATTTCACTCTTAAAAAGTGGTAATAGTATTATTTTTGACTTGATATTAAAGATTTGAGTACTGTGTGTGTGAACATGAAAGGTCAGGTGTGAGATATGTAAATATGTACGAATTTTGTGCTATGTATGTAAATATGGAAGTTTGCTCGTAACAAAACTGTGTTTGATACATGTGTTAGCTTTCTCATGTGATGAGAGATGGTCCTCAAAGCGAACTTTTATATACAATCATTAAATTTCTTCATGTTGTGGATTGTTTATGTCACTTTGCAGTCGCTGTACTTGTGTTGCATGGGTACCAGATGGCGATGGCAATTTTGTTTCTGCTCATGCTGATGGAAATCTATATGTGTATGGAAAAGTAAGTCATATAGCACAATTTTTTTTTATTACATGTCTTTTTAGGGGAATTTACATACATACCCCCAATTCTTATCTATTTACATAATTCACACCTAAATTTTTCTTTTACGATTTGTACCATCCAAATCTTTCATATCATGCAAAAAATACCACCATTTTAACTTTTAGAAAGTGGAATGCACTTTTTCATGCATATGTAAGATGATATGCATGTAAAATTGAAGCTTAGATGTTAAATATGTAAATACTTAGGAAATAAGTGCTATCTATGTAAATCTTTCTTTTTTCTTAATTTATGCTCATTTTATTTTTCTTTCCTGCTGCCTAGAATAAGGATGGGGCTATTGATCCATCATTTCCTGCTATCAAAGATCCAACTCAGTTTACTGTTACTCATGCACGATCTAGTAAGGTAACTTGGCAGTGGTTTTCTCCTTGTTTGCTTTAGCTATGTCTATATATATTGACTAGCATTTGTTACCAACTAGTTATTTGAGAAACTAGCGCCTCCTTCTCATTATTCTCAAGGCTACTATTGGTATGGCATCATTAATTTTTTTATGAAGGCTATCTGATGGCAAGAAGCAGTTGCTTCAGTTTACAATAGTTGTTTCTATACTAAAATGTGCATCCCTTCATTTGTCTTTTAATTAGGTCTTCTTCAGTAATGTTAGCTTGTTGTCACACACTGATATATTCAAGAAGTTGGCAAGGCAAACATGGGGCGGAAGATTCTAGAGAAGGCTGGAATGTAGGGTGCCATCCAGGGGGCTCTAGAAGATTCCACCCAATTCTAGAGAAAATAAGAAAGAAAGGCTCCAAGGAGAAATTAAGAATAATCTGGATTGTTCTAGGGCTATGTGTAGAATAAGAGAGGAATGTAGAACTCTCTAGAAACTAGAATAATTTAATGTATTCTAGAATATTCCATTAGGCTTGGAGGAGGTTATAAATAGGAGCTCCTCCCCTCATTTGTAATCACCCAAGCATTGAATCAAACCTAGATTGTTCTAGGGCTATGTGTAGAATAAGAGAGGAATGTAGAACTCTCTAGAAACTAGAATAATTTAATGTATTCTAGAAAATTTCATTAGGCTTGGAGGAGGTTATAAATAGGAGCTCCTCCCCTCATTTGTAATCACCCAAGCATTGAATCAAAGCATTTAAGTATTCAAGTGTGAAGTATTCCTTTCTCTCTACTATTCTTCTTAAGAGTGTTTGGTGCTCAAAAGTCCAGTGTTGTGATGGAGTCTGAAGCCACGAATGTGGAGTCATCTCAAGGGCGAGGCCGCTAAGTGCAAAGAGACTCCATTGCACCCAAGCCATATGGGAGGTCCAAGGAGATCATGCATGTCTTTGATTCACGTCTTGCTCGGATAGAGGGGGCAATGAATGACATGGAGGGCCAAGTAGAGAATCTTGGCCAAAGAGTTAATGGACTCGAGGAGGAGGACGTCACCATCCATTCAACGATCAAATGTATGATGCTCCAACTTGAAGAAACCTTAATAGGCCATATGGCTAAGTTGCAGGAAGATTTGTTGGGGAAGCTCCAAGAGATGCGAAGAGCCTATAAGAAGGAGATGAGGGACATGCGTGCTAGCTTGGAGAAGATGCGTGGAGACATTTTGCTGTGCAAGAGAGCACTAGCAACATCCACAAGCCATCTCACTTTCGAAACCAAGATGATTGAAGTTCCAAAACCTATGAGTTTTGGAGGGGTTCGCAGTGCGAAGGAAGTAGACAAATTCCTATGGGGACTAGAGCAATACTTTGGAGCGATGGGGATTACTGATGAAGATGCAAAAATACAATTTGCCTCTTTTTATCTCTCGTACATTGCTATGCTTTGGTGGAGAAGAAGAAAATGAGATGTAGAGAAAAGTTTGTGCTCCATTTCCACTTTCAATGACTTTAAGAGAGAGCTAAAGAGACAATTTTACCGCGTGCGAGGATGAGGCTCGAGCCCGGCTGAGAAGGCTTAAGCAAGAGGGTTTGATTCGAGACTATATCAAGGAGTTTACAAGCTTGGTTCTTGAAATCCCAGATATGTCAGACGAGGATGCTCTGTTTAACTTCATGGATGGGCTTCAACATCGGGCAAAGACTGAGCTCAGGAGGCGAGGAGTGCAAGATCTTGCCACTGCCATTGTGGTTGCTGAAAGCTTGGTTGATTATGTAATGGAGTCTAGAAAGCCTGAAGATAAGAAGAGTTGCGATGTCAAAGGTGGAGATGACATGGGCATAAACAAGGAGGAGAAACGCCTCGAATCAATTCCAACAAAGGCAAGAGACAAGGGGAAGACCAACAACAAGCCATATCAAAACCGCTGCTTTCTTTGTGAAGGACCTCATTGGGCATGAGATTGCCCTCAGAAGAAGACCCTCAACTCTCTTCTTGCAAGCCATAAGGAGGAAGAAGAGAGAGATAGGGAAAATGGCATGGATGCACACGTGGGATCCTTCAATTACTGAACGGGATGCAAACTCCGACAAAACCCCAAGGAAAGGGGTTGCTCTTTGTAGAGATGACAATAGGAGGGAAGACCACTAGGGCAATGGTGGATACATGTGATTCCCACAACTTCATCTTTAGCGAGGAAGCAAAGAGGTTGGGGTTGCAGATGACTAAAGGAGGGGGCTCCATTAAAGTCGTCAACTCAGCAGAGATGCCAATCGACAAAGTAGCTAAGGGAGTCAAGACCAACATTGGGGCATGGTCAGGTACTCTAGATTTCTTTGTCATTCCTTTGGATGATTACAAAGTTGTGGGAATGAACTTCTTGGAGCAAGCAAGAGCATTTCCAATGCCATTTGCCAATAGCCTGTGCATCACGGAAGGGAGTCAAGCCTGCTCAGTACTGATGATGAGGTTAAGCAAGCAAGGATCCAAATCGCTATCGGCAATCCAACTCAAGGATGACATTGCACAGGAGGCAAGGGATAAGCCGCCGACCAGCAAGACGTGCGGCATGACACCACTCTCCCATAACACAAGGGGAAACCAAAGTTTTCCAAAACTGGGGGCGAACCAAAAAGGCAGTTTCAAAGGTGCAGGGGAAGCTACAATGAGTGCATTGCGAGTTTAAGTAGGGGAGAGTGCCGCGCACCGATATATTCAAGAAGTTGGCAAGGCAAACATGGGGCAGAAGATTCTAGAGAAGGCTGGAATGTAGGGTGCCATCTAGGGGGCTCTAGAAGATTCCACCCAATTCTAGGGAAAATAAGAAAGAAAGGCTCCAAGGAGAAATTAAGAAAAACCTAGAATGTTCTAGGGCTATGTGTGTAATAAGAGAGGAATGTAGAACTCTCTAGAAACTAGAATAATTTAATGCATTCTAGATATTCCATTAGGCTTGGAGGAGGCTATAAATAGGAGCTCCTCCCCTCATTTGTAATCACCCAAACATTGAATCAAAACATTCAAGTATTCAAGTGTGAAGTATTCCTTTCTATCTACTATTCTTCTTAAGAGTGTTTAGTACTCAAAAGTCTAGTGTTGTGAGGTGTAAGGTTGATTTAGTGCTAAGAAAGAGCGCTAAAGCCGCACGGGTGACTTGAGGAAAGTTAGTCCGTGATGTTAGTCCGTGACATTGTGCTGTAGTGTTTTTCCATCTGAATTTGTTGATAGATGAACTTGTTTGATAAAAACTATTGTGATAGTAATTTGAATTAGTTACATGACCAAAGCAGATATGCTCAGCACATAACAAATCATATGTATTTATTTTTAGCATATGGTAATTCTATTGCTGTTAATGAATGCAAGATTGATGATTAATATTTGCGTGTCTATGAATTAAATCAAAACTTGAATGCTATACGATTATACTAAATTAATGAAGTAATGATATATGCTATTTTCTTAAATAAAAATGATTTCTATAACATCCATTCATGACAAGTCAAGAAAGAGAGAAGGGAAAGGGAAAACCTATGTTTTTAATGACCGATATAAGAAAGATACATTCAAAGAAAAACCTCCGCATATAATGTGATCTCGCACTTAGCCATTGTCATGTTTTGATATTCAACCTCAGAAGTTGACATGGAAATGACACAAAGACTTTGCCCAATTTGCATTATTGTCGATCACTTGATTATTTCCTTTACATTCACCTAACATGCTTTGACCTAGTATCTTGTTGTATATGAGAATACAAATGAAATAAATTAAATGAATAACTCATGGAGATTGCATAAATCAGGGGACTTGATTTGATCAATATTGTCCATTAGAATACATCCGTTTTAATGGCCTTGCAGCCTAAAATGCATGCTTCCTCTAATATGCCTAATACATACTTTCTTTGAGAAATAAGAACAATACTACTCAAGCAAGTCACCTCAATGCCTGTAAAATATCTGAGTTTGCTTGAATCTATTGTTTGAAAATAATTGGAGTCTGATAGTTTAACCAATTAATACTATCTTGATCACATGATTTGACATCCATGCATACTCTACAAAATGGATACTTTGATAATGAGAAAGGTGCCAATAGAAAATAAGTTGATCCACCTCACTACAGTTTGTACAAAAAATTTAAACAGTTTGTGTTGAGCATGGAGGAAGATAGTTTTAATGTTTAAGTTGTAAATGAGCCTTGTGACGTACAATAACTACGTGTAAAAACAAGTAAACGTAATCTTGCCCCCATAGTTTCGAGATAACGTTGCTCATAAAGTGATAATTCAGGCAATCAAGGCCAACTTTGATAGTATAACCAATGAAAACTAATAGTATATTAACGAAGTGTCAATGAAACCAATTCTCTAGTACAACTATATTGTAATGCATGTATATTTTCTATCACTGCTTGATGCCACCTTTGATGAAAAGGCATTATATGTTATTTTTGGAATGAAAATGGAAGATAAGGTTAAAACATAGACATAGTAGGGTGAAAGTAGACAATGATAACCCATAAAATTATATAGGATGAGATTTACGAGCAAAAGAGTGCCTCCTTTTTTAAAAGCAATATGTTCTAAGTGAGCAGGAGGCATGGTCATGATTGGTAATGGCATTGGAGTAGGAGGTGAGTTGTCTATCTTCTTTAGTTTGAACAAGAATACAACATCAAGAGCGATGATGATCAGGTAGACAATTAGAGGCCAACGCATGTTTAGGTTCAGAGGAGGCCTAAGCAGGGAGCCAAAAGTTTATAAAAAATGACATCAGGCTCAACATGATACAAACAATAATTGTAGTTTCTCATTGAGAGGTAACATATGCTAAAGTAAAGCAACAATTAGTGTCTGAAGAATAATGTGCTTATCCTTTCTAATGTTGATAGTTGACTTGCATATCCTTTCTAATGTTGATAGTTGCCGTAAAGCGATTGTTTATTTTTTTTTGGAGCTAGATTATGTACAAAATAGTACAACAAGGATGCAAAATAGAAGAAAA